AGGAAAGGTGTCAGAAATTGATTTTGTTTCAAATAAAGATATTATAGAAAGGGATGTTTTGAGCACTGTTTCTATTATATCAGGAAAGTCACTAGGATTATAATGGGTTAAACAGGCATCTCTTCTTTTGTGATCTGATTCATTTCCTAGCAAAATGAAAGTGACTTATATTAGCTTTTATTAACTTTTTTAGTCTCTAATTGGCACATTTGATTTCTGTTTGAACATTTAAATTTTTCTTGGTAGAATACAAATGATACAATTTTTAATGAATATAATTTTAAATTTACTGTTCTGTAGCATTAAAGACACTCACATTGTTATGCAACCAATCCACCATCTGCTTCCAGAATTTTTTCATCTTACTAAATTGGAGCTCAATACCCATTAAACACTAACCCTCCTCTGGTCAAACATCTTTTAGAATTCACAGTGAGATTCATATAACTGATAAGGATTTTCCCTTGAATGAGACCGAAATTTGTGGGTTCCACATAACAGTATTCTAAAGGATATTTTCTATAGCAGTATCACTCCTGTTACCCACCATTTGCAATATTCATATTTGGCTTTCCTTCCATTTTTATGATTTTTACAAATTACCTTTGGAGAAGTGTGGAGAGTGGTTGTGGATAAACAAAAGAAAATATCCTGCCCAGTCATCCTTTGTCTCTTAGCAAGGTCTTGTCCACAGTCTAATCTTATCTTTAGCTGGGTGAAAAATTTGTAGTCTTACCATGAGGGACCTCTAATCCTAGGTGGTTCCTTATCTTGATGGGTATTATTAATTTGCCCATATTACCTGCCTGAAATCTAGACTGTCAACACCAGTGTTACTCCCGTAAAATATCTGAAATAAAAGAACACAAATTCACAGCTAACAAACATAGAACATAGTTGTTATAAATACAGCTGGTTACAAAAATCTAAACAGGTTAATTGTAGTGCCCACATTCACTGCCCATATGTATTCCCTTTGCCTTCAGTCAGAGTTTTAACTTGATGGGGTCCTTCAAATCTTTATTTATTTGGATCTGAAGCTTTGCCTGCTCTACCTTTGTTGGGTTGCTTCAGTTTTCTATTGTCCAAGGCTATTGGTCAAGGCACCTCTTTGGCCCCTGAATCAGTCTCTCCAGTTCCAGGGACCCACCTTTTTGACTCTAGATTCAGTGCAATGAGAAGCCACAAATGGCTAGGGAGAAGTCTCAGCTTCTAATTCATCAGATTCAGAACTCTGTCTCACGGTGAAAACATTCCTCTGTGAAATCGTAGCCCCTCATCCCCAAACACATTGAGGTGAAGATTATAAGAGGGGAAACAAAAATTCTTTGAGCAGATTATGAAGCCACAAATTAAGAGGATCACTGCCTGTACCTAACCCTTAGTTTCCAGGCATGCTGCCATAAGAGAAATGGCTCAAGCAACCGCTGGTTTAAGGCAAATCTCACGTCTTAAGGCTGGAGTCTTATTTGAACTTGTGTCAGGTTCCAACAAGACTACTGCAACTGGGTCTTGAGCACGTGGCAAGTGTACTGAATTTCATGGTCTTGAGCATATGGGCGCACTTTCCTTGTTGTAAAATAAGTCTTTTATTCAGAGGCATTATTGCATGAAACACCAAGGGAATGAAAAAGGTGTTTGTAGGTGTATGAATGTTTGTGCATGAAGAAGTGCTACTGGCAGGATCCAGAGCTACCTCTTGAGATGAACGTCTTTTCTAAAATAAATGCCACCAGCTAACCTCCAGTCTCCTGAAAATAATAAGCAGTCAACTGAAGTCACAGCTAAACAATACTGATTTCAAGGAAATCTATATGGATGATCCCATGCATGACTCTGTCCATGTATGCTCCATATTTTAGGGTCTGAGGCTGCCCTTAACTTAGGTTGAGAGTCTTTGTGAAATGGAGAATTTAATTATTGTTCTAACAATATAACTCTTAAAAATCACACACTAGATTCAATTCACCTATACATCTTATGAGTAGGGAGAAAATGTCAGGATCATTCAGAGCCAAGATGGAAATCTCCCAGTTTCTCCAAACAAGTTATGTACTACAGCTTTTACTTTTTCCCTTTCCCTACGTCCATCTTCTAGGTCAGTCAGAAGGCAGAGAACTCTACAATATTTATATTTACTTTTCTTCCTAGCAGCCAAGCTATTTACTTTCCTCCCGGTGCCTTATTCTCTACTTTCTCTGAATCCTTTTCCACCAATATTTGCAATTTGGGTCGATTTGGTGCTATACCATGGCATGCTATAGCTTGCTCTTGCCTATTCCCCCCAGCAACAAGGTTAGCTGTGCCCTAGTCAAATGTGTGAGAAACTGAATTTCAGAAGCACATTTTGAGATTCTAGGAACCACTTTCAGGAGAAGTTTCCATATCAGCCAGGGTTCTAATAAGAAGCAGATGGCATGTTCAAATTTGAGAAGAATCAAATAAAGAGATCATTTACAAAGGTGTGTGAAAGGCATAGGGAAATTCTGAGAAGTACAATTACTGGAGTCAAAATAAAGGAATTGTGACCACCGCTGGCCTGACGGAGCAGGGGCAGGAAACAGTTTATTAAAACTTGAGGACAGCAAGGGATGCATGCAGGACATTATGTAGTTTTGTTTGTTTTTACTGGTCAATCACATACCTCACCACAGCAATCCAGCAAGAAGGGAGATGAGAAAGAAAATACTCCAGCCTCACTTCTTTCATTCCTGCAATCTCCTGTTTATTGTTTCTGCTTGGTATACTTCATCAAAAACCATAGAGAATATAGCCAATTGCTGTAATTCTTAGGTCTCACCTTTCTGAAAAAGATCAGGGTAAGGAAGAATGGGTACTGAATCTGGAGGAGCAAACAGGACATATACAGCACATCTGACATGTGCTAGACACACTGCAAATCCCACAACATATTTGGGGATGCAAAGATATAACTCCTGCATTTAAAGACTTAAGATTTTAGTGGTTAAGTCATGTACCTTAACACTTGCAGCAAAGAATCATGAATGTTCAAATTTTAATAGGATAAATAAAAGCAGCTGCATAGAAATCTAAAATGTGACCCTTCAAAACTCAATTTCTTTTCTTCCCAAGTTTCTTATCATGATTAATGTCAGAATTTATATACCCAGTTTCACATCCAGAAACTCAGGAGTCATATGTAAATGCACTTCTACAAGCTGTTGCATTCAGATTCATTAAGTCCCATGAGTTGTACAATTGTCCTAACTCTTAAGTCATAATCTTCCAAACTTTCCCCAACATCACCCGTACTTCAGCTAAAGGAGCAATAATGAGGATTGAACTTAGCACCTTGTGCTTGCTAGCTGATGATGTAGCACTGGAGCCATACCCTCAGCCTTTTTTATTTAGTTACTTTTTTAGTAATTCCCTTTTTTTTTTTGCCCTAGAGCTGGCCTCAGACCATAATCCTCCTACCTATGCCTCCTGCACAGCTGTGATTAAAGTCGCATGGCTCCATACCCAGCTTGTCAGCTGAGATTGAGTCTCACTAACTTTTTGTCCAGGCTGGCATCAAGCCTTGATCCTCTGGATCACTGCCTCCTGAATAGCTTGGTTTACAGGTGTGAACCACCATACCTGGCCTCGCCACTTTTCATCTCAGTACTATTAAACTTCAACAACTCTAAAAATGATACGGAAACAAATACTTCATACTTCTTGAGTTCTTCACAGTATTTACACTTTATAGTATAGTACTTATTGGGCACCATTCTGACCACTTTAGATATTACAACTCAATTCCAAAAAAAAAAATTTTATGGGAAAGAAATAATACCCTTTTTACAGCAAAAAGGGAGTCATAGAGTTGTAGTAACTTCCAAAAGCCCAAATAGCTCCAGAGCAAGACCAGGATTTCAACTCAGGCAGTACCATGTGGGATGTTGCTCTTAACTGCTGTGCATACTACCACTTAGCCTCTTACAGCTCACTTGCCTAGAATATAAAGCTTAAATTCATTAACCTGGCATTTGAAGACCTCATGATTTGCTTTGTCTCACTCTTCAGTCTCACTAGGTCTTCCTCAACTCCCATTGCTCAGTAAGGTTTCCACATTGAATCTTATATAAGTTCTCATTCTTCACAATGTAAGCATCACCTCACTAAAGCCTTTGTGGACCTCCTTCCCACCACAGTAAACAGCTCTCCAGGGTTACTAAAGCTGCCTGAATGTATAATATGTCATTTTCACATTTTTGTCACCATCCAACTGCCTACTTCTTTGAAAAACTTAATACCTGGAAAGATTTTTTTAGGAAGAAATAGACAACTACACATTTGTCTCTGAGTCAAAAGGCAACTGTTACACAACTGGTGAAAAACTTTCACATTTGAATGAGGAAGACAAACATCTTCTTCCCCTTAGCTCTTTACAGATTGTAAGGGGCCACAAACCTTTCTCTAGTCATGAGTTTTCAAGGAGCAGAAAATTCAAAGAGATTGCTACAAATATAGGGAAGAAAGTCAAACCCCTTATAAATTGGCCACTTGGTTCATCCCATGATAGTAAGATTAAATCTTGTTTTAAAATTTTTCTATATAACTAAATGTAGCTAAATGTGACAGGTGCTTATACTATAGGGACTTGGAGATCAGGACCAGTTCCCTAGTTCTAAAATTTGTCTTGAGAAGCAGGTGACCTGATGAAGTTGACAAAAACCAGGAGACAACATCATGACTGAGAGGAAACAATGCTTAAATGGGAAAGGAGCTTCTGGCTGGAACCAGTCATATATTAGACATTCATAGGAATGGGGCTTCTAGATTTCACAAACAAATTTCATGATACTAAATATTGTAGGGGAAATGCTTATGCCAAAAAATTATTCACTGTTTATCTGAAATTAGATGAACAATGTCCTGGCAACTTTACTTGAGAGTTAATTACTGCAGAAAGATGTAGAGATACTTGATTTCTAAAATTTCTTAATCATGAAATTGTTGCTTATGCACTAGCCTCACTTCTTATCACAGGTGTAATGAGAACTACAGGACTACTTGTCTGCAGACACTTTGTTGTCATGTGCCTCCTTCAGATGGCCACACCAAGCTCAGGTATGAATTTCTCATTTACCTTTATTAGCTTCAGCAATGTCAAGGATGCCAGGCAAAGCAAGGAAGAAACAAAAAGGACAAGCTTCTTTGACAATTGTTTTTCAGGTTTAACAGGTAGTGACAGAATGAAGATGGTTACCATCATATGGTCAGGAAGAATTAATTATTTTAATCAGCAAGTTGTCTTATTCAGATTTGTGTTAGATTTCAGAAAGAAACAAATGAAGACCTAATTCTTACCCTTGAGAGTCCAATATTCATATTGAGAATATGTGATTTATTTTCACTTAGACAATGAGGAAGTGGTGCAAGACATGTATCCATATCAGGATCCATGTGAGTAATCAGGACACTGGAGAATAAGAAAAGAAAGAAGAGACAGGCTAGTGGAATCTTAGAATGAGAATCTGCCATTGTAAGGGAGTCTATACAAAGTAGAAATGAACGTGGGTTACCTAGAGGCACATTCAAAAGAAAAACCTGAGACAAATCACATAAAAATTTAGAAGTTTCTAGCAAAACCTGCAGGCTAAATGGTAAAAAATCTTACTGATAGACATTTAGATTGTATCCAGTCTTTGAATAATAAACAACAATGCTGCCACAAACATCCTGGCACATGTTTTGAGCAACTGTGAATATGAATATGGAAATATTCATCTGAGTAGAACTGCTGGTCAAAGTTTATGTGCTATTTTATTATTATATTGAAAATGTTATCTGAAATGGTTGCTAGTTCACACTCCTACCAACAGAATATGTGAGTTTATCAGTTGGGTGTTACAGATATCAAAGCTTTTTATCTTTTTCAGACTTATATGGAATATCACTCTGTTTATATTTTATTTTTATTAATGAATAAGGTTCAGTATCTTTCCAAAAGTTGTTATTTTCTCTCTGAATTGCTTACTTATACCATAAACAATGTTGGGTTTTTTTCTTCATTGCTTTTTAAGAATGCTTAATGTTAAGAATTAATTTTTTATTGATTTTGCCCATTGTATGTATATATCTTTTTTATTTTTTCCTTTCTTTCTGTTTCTTTTGTTTTTTCAGTGCTGGGGATAAAACCCAGGGCCTGCACATGCTAGGCAAGTAATCTGCCACTTACCTATAGCCCCAGTCCTGTTTTACGTATTTCTAACAAGTTTATAACTCAACTGACTGATTCATTATATTTTTGAGGCATAGAATTTGTTTGCTTTGAGTTTTTATTTTATTTTGTGAATTACAAAGTTTGCCTCAAACCCTCATTTATTTTGCCCTCCACTTTATTGTAACTCACCTTTTGAATTTTAATGCACATTAATTTTCTAAAATTTTTCTTTATAGAAAAATTTTGCAGAAAGTACACCTCCTCCCATCACACACATACATAGTTTCCCTTATGATTAACATCTTACTTTGTATGATACATTAATTATAATTGAGCCAATACTTATATACTATTATTAACTAAAATTCAAGTTTACATTAGGATTCTTTCATTTGTACAGTTCTATGATTTATAACAAATTATTATGTAAATAAGTTAGCAATCACCTTTATATATTAATCCTATGTTGCCTTCCTCTTCAAAACTGAGACTCCTTATCCCAAATACCCACCAATACCAAACTCAAATTTTTACACATCCAATTGTTCTAAATATATTCCAAAGAAGCAATTTTTTAGCTGTTTAATGCCTGCGTGCTTTGTATGCCCCCAACATCTGCTACAGATGAACCCTGTGGCTTTAAAACCCCAAGCTGCTGATGCCTTTCAGAGCTCTCTGATGTAGACTCCCTAGGGAGCAGTGGAACTGTGTTGGGAAGATGCATAGGCCACCTCTCCAACCCTGGGAGTTTTTCTGTCCCTTCTCCCCTTCTAGATGGTGGTCCTCTGGACCTCTACAAGGTCTTATGCTCTGAACACAACCTCCTGCTGCAATCGTATTAAAGGTTGTTGGGAGTTACTGCCACCTGCTGTTTTTATCTTGTTCCATGATCAGCCCCTGAAATTCTCAAATTCATTGTATAAATGCTTGATGTCCTGTATCCACCATTATGGTACCACACAGAATAATTACACCACCCATAAAATGCTGTATGCTCCACTTATTCATCCCTCTCTCCCTCCCCCAGAAACCCTGACAACCACTGTTCTTGTTCTGTCTCTTAACTTTGCAGTTTCTAGAATGGCATACATTGGAATAATACAGGTTGTACCCCTTTCAAACTGACTTCTTTCACTTAGTAATATGCATTTAAGCTTCTTCCATGTTTTTCATGGACCGTTAGCTCATTTACTATTATTAATGAATAAAATTCATTGTATGAATGTACCACGGTTGGTTTATTCATTCACCTATTGAAGGACATTTTGATTCCTTCCAATTTTTGTCAAGTATGAATAAAGGTGCTCTAAACATTTATGTATAGGTTTTTGTATAGATGTACTTTGCAACTAAGTTGGGTCCTATCTAGGAGCATGATTGCTAGGTGGTGTGGCAAGCTTATTTTTAGCATTCAAAGAAATTGCAAAACAGTCTTCTAAAGTGTCTATACCATTTTGCACTCCCACCAGAAATACATGAGAATCACGTTGCTCTGCATCCTCACCAGCATCTGTGTCATGTTTTGAATTTCAGCTAGTCTAATAATGGGCATATAGTAGTACCTTATTTTTTAACATGAAATTCCCAAATAGTATATGTCATTGAGCTTATTTTCATGTGTTTGCCATCTATAGTTCTTCTTTGGCAAAGCATCTGTTCAGATTTTTGTACATTTTTGAATGATTCTCATTTTAAACTCTGTAGACAAGTCTTTTCTCAAAGTATAACTTTTGCAAATTTTTATTGTCACTCTATGGCTTGTGCTTTCCTTCTTTTAGCAAGAGTTTTTGCAAAAGAAATATTTTTGTTTTCAATAAGTTTTAAATGTAATGAATTGATGCTTGAGCTGTTATTCCTTTTTTTCATATATCCTTCATGAATTTAGCATTCAATTTATTCACTTATTTTTATCTTGTATAATTCAGCAGTGTCTTCTTCATGGTGTCCAGGCACTGTGTTTCCTGAGGAAGAATTTTCCAGACCACATTTCAAGATTATAACTACCACTTTTCCTATTTATTTGATACTTTAAAATTAACTTATGCAAAACAATTTATGTTAAGATAGAAAGACAAATACAACATTATTTTTCTTTTAAAAACTGCCCAGTTGTCCTATCTGCTTACTAAATAATCCACCTTTCTCCATTCATCCCAGGGGTCCTCTTTGTCACAAACTAAATCCCTTCATATATTTGGAATCATAAACTATGTCCCATTTAGTTCTCTTCTCATGGACCAATTTCACATATCAAAAAGTGTTTTGTATTTGTGCAACAAATCTTAATGTTTTTAGAGATAGTCTATTCTAAGTAGTCATTTTTTAAAGAAAATTTATACAAGTAGTTTATGAACATGTTTTCATTTTTGAAAGAGTCATATGGTAGTTTTATTTGAGTGACTTCAAATTACTACATCAAGTTATGCTTACTACCTTGTTCGTTTTAATAAAAAATATTCTAATATTTTGTCTGCCTTTGAGAACTTTTTGCTTCCTATAAGATTGTTGTAAACCTGAAAATTTATTAAAAGAAGAATAATACACTCTAAAATACATCAAATTACATATTTAGTTAGATATAAAAGCTGATGGAGAATGTTGATGAAATGCTTTACCCTTACATCATTGTTATTTTTAATAGAAAAAGTAAATGTGATCATTAGCTTGGAATCACAATATTTATGATTGTTACATATGCATTTTAAAAGCATTCAAAATGCTTAATATATGTAATTGAAGTTTATTTTTAAAATAAACATGTTTGCTAGGAATGATCAAATATTTTAAATAGTTTTCAAAGATTTGTTACATAAGTATATAATCACATGAGGAATGAGCAATGAATATCTAAAGTAGTATTCTTTCCACGTGCAAAATAATTTTCAGCATTTTAAATATTAGTTGACCAATCACACATGGGTTCTTAAGGCTATTTAGCCCCTCCCAAGGTGAAAAAACCCTAAATTGACTTGATCATATTGACTAAATGGCAATTTTAACCAATGGCAGTAGAAGTGATTGAAAGAGATAAAATGGAGAATACTAAGAGAAATAACTGTTTTTCATATTCCTTGCAATGCATGGAACAGAGGACAAAATGAGAGAGTTTGAAATGTCTCCTGTTCCCACACTTTATTCCATTCATGGACTAAATATTAACTTTGATAACTTCTGAGTCTAACCTGAAAGAACATCTGGTATAGACAAGTAGTATTAAAAAGGCAAAACAAAAAATTAACCTGGGGACACTGGGAACACTAAGCGGTGGCACTTTAGGGTGTCTTGGTGGTAAACCCAAGAAATGAGTTCCATAGTAAGAGAATGTAGAGAAGAAGAGAGATAAAATTAAACTTTAAAAGTGTCAGAATTTTCCAGAATTAAAGAAAGATAAGACTCATTCAAGAAGCCCTATGAACTTCAACCAGAAAACAAAGCATAAATTTGTAAACAGATTCATTATAGTCAATGTGCAGAAAATCTTTAAAGCAGCCAGAGAAAAAGAAGGTTTAGAATGAATGAAGAAATAGAATAAAAAGAAAGATAGAAAGAACAGTTATTAAGGTAGTAGCAACTTTCTTAAGAACAATGGAAAACAAACCATTTAAGCAGCAATGGAAACTATATTTTCATATTTCTTAAGGGAAACAATTTGATGAGCAACCATTCTAGTGAATTTAAAATGTCTTTTGGGAAACAAAAAGAATTAACCCTCAATAAAGTGTGTGTGTGTGTTGTCTGTTCTCACCTTTTGATTATCATTTCCCTTCTTTAGAACAGTTCATAGTGAATGGCTTAAAGGGGCCAGTCTTGGCTCCATTAAGTGGAGATGCAGATCTCAGTTGTCAGTTGTCTCCTCCACAAAATGCACAGCACATGGAGATTTGCTGGTTTCAGAACCACTACACACACCCTGTTCACCTGTACAAAGATGGAAAGACCTGTTTGGAGAAACTATCCCCAAGTATGTGGAGTGAACAGAACTGGTGAAAGATGCCATTGGAGGAGGTAAAGTGACCCTCAGGATCTTCAATGTCAGTGTTGATGATGATGGACAGTACCACTGCATCTTCAAAGATGGTGATTTCTATGAAGAGGACATCACAGAAGTGAAGGTCACCAGTAAGGATAAATCCCTTTGAGGTTCCACAAATGTAAGGACTAAAGTCTCAAATATATAACATTTTATTAGACATTATATCACACACAAGCACATCTATATTTGAGCTACTCAATGTAGCCAGTTATTATTAAATTTAAATTTAAATAATAAATCTAATGTATATTTATATTTCAATTAAATAAAATTAAACATTCAGTTCATAGATCTCACTTTACCCATTTTAGTCCCCTGTATCGCTATGTGATCCAGTATGTTCCCTATTTTTTCCCTGCAGTAATTTCACTAGTTCAGATATTACATTAAGGCCTTTGATCCACTTTGAATTGATATTTGTACAAGGTGAAAGACTGCAAATGAATATCCAATTTTCCCAGCACCATTTGTTAAAGAGGCTATCTTTTCTCCAAAACATAATTTGGGCTCCTTTGTCAAAAAACAAATGGCTGTAGCCACATGGGTTTGTCTATGGGTCTTCAATTCTATTCCATTCATCTTCAAGTCTGTTTTTGTGCCAGTAACATGCTGTTTTTATTACTATGGTAGAGTATTTTACTGTAGTATAGTTTGAAGTCAGGTGTTATGATGCCAGCATTGCTCTTTTTGCTTTGGATTGCTTTGGCTATTCAATGTCTTTTGTGCTTCTATATGAACATTAGGATGGACTTTCCTATCTTGGTGAAGAATGTCATGGACTTTTGATAGGGGTTGCATTGGAAATACAGATTGCTTTAGGCAGTATAGCCATTTTCACAGTATTGATTCTGCTGATCCATGAGCATGGGATGTCCTTCCATCTTCTAATGTCTTTCTAGATTTCTTTCTTTTGTGATTTATAATTTTCATATATAGGTCTTTCACCTCCTGAATTAAATCTATTCCTCCATATTTTAATTTTGTTGAAGTTATTGTGAATGGTATTGTTTGCCTGATTTCTTCCTCATACTACCCATTATTTGTATATAAAAATGCTACTGATTTTTGTGTGTTGATTTTATATCCTGCTACTTTACTGAATGTATTTGTGAGGTATAAGAGGTTTGTTGGTAGAGTGTTTAGGGTCTTTCAGGTATAAGATCATACCGTCTGCAAATAGGGATAATTTGACATCTTCCTTCCCTGTTCAAATACCTTTTATTTCTTTCTTCTGTCTTGTTTCTCTGGCTAGGAATTTCAGTACTATATTGAATAAGAGTGTGGAGAGTGGACATTCTTGCCTCATTCCTGATTTTAGAGGAAAGGGTTTCAGTTTTTTCCAATTTAGTATGATGTTGTTATAGGTTTGCCATGTTTAGCCTTTATAATGTTGAGGAATGTTCCTTCAATTCATAGTTTCTTTAGAGCTTTTATAATTAAAGGATGTTGAATTTTGATAAAGGCTTTTTCTGCATCTATTGAGATAATGATGTGGTTTTTCCCTTGATTCTGTTTATGTGTTGTGTAACATTTATTGTTTGCAAATTTTGTACCATCCTTGCACCCCTTGAACAAAACCTACTTGATCAGCATACATGATCTTTTTAATGTGTTGTTGATTCTGTTAGCAAGTATTTTATTGAGAATTTTTACATCTATGTTTATCAGGGATAAACACAGGCCTGTAACTTTCCTTTTTTGATATATATTTACCATTTCTGATACATATTTACCTTTTTTGATACATATTTTGGTATTAAGACTGACTTTGTAGAATATATTTTGTAATAGTCCTTGCTTTTATATTTTATGGGTAGTTTGAGGAGCATTGATGCTAGTTACTCTTTAAAGATGTGATAAACATTCGCTGGTAAATGGATGGAATTGGAGAACATCATTCTGAGTGAGGTTAGCCTGGCTCAAAAAACCAAAAATCGTATGTTCTCCCTCATATGTGGACATTAGATCAAGGGCAAACACAACAAGGGAATTGGACTATGAGCACATGATAAAAGCGAGAGCACATAAGGGAGGGGTGAGGATAGGTAAGACACCTAAAAAACTAGCTAGCATTTGTTGCCCTTAACGCAGAGAAACTAAAGCAGATACCTTAAAGCAACTGAGGCCAATAGGAAAAGGGGAACAGGTACTAGAGAAAAGGTTAGATCAAAAAGAATTAACCTAGAAGATAAACACACATGCACAGGAAATCAATGTGAGTCAATGCCCTGTATAGCTATCCTTATCTCAACCAGCAAAAACCCTTGTTCCTTCCTATTATTGCTTATACTCTCTCTACAACAAAATTAGAAATAAGGGCAAAATAGTTTCTGCTGGGTATTGAGGGGGGAGAGGGAGGGGTGGAGTGGGTGGTAAGGGAGGGGGTGGGGGCAGGGGGGAGAATTCAGCAGTGAATTCATCAGGAACTGGACTTTTCTTTGTAGGCAGTCTTTATAATCATCTCAATCTCATTGTTGGTTATAGATCTGTTTAAGTTGTTAATGTCTTTTTGGTTCGATTTTGGTGGATCATATGTGTTAAGAAATTTATGTATTCTTCACTTTCCAGTTTGCTGGAGTGAAGGTTTTCCTGTATGATCTTCCAAATGTCATTGGTGTCTGTTAGGATATTTCTTTTTTCATCTCTGATTTTATTAATTCAGTTCTTCTTCTTTCTTCTTCTAGTAAATTTGACTAAAGGTTTGTCAATCTTGTTTATTTTTTCAAAGAACTAACTTTTTTTTTCATTGGTTCATTGTAACATTTTTTTGCTCTCCAATTCATTGAGTTTTTCACTGATTTTTATAATCTCTGTATCTATTACTTTTTGGATTGCCTCATTTTTGTTTTTCTAACAGATTGAGGTGCATCATTAGATTATTAATTTGAGATCCCTCTAATTTTCTGATATGGTCATTTATGGCTATAAGATTCCCTCTTAACACTGCCTTTGAGTGTCCCACAGGTTCTGATAAGGTGTGTCCTCATTTTCATTTGAATATTAGAATGACTTAATTTCTTTCCTAATTTCTTCAATGACCCATTGATGGCGCAAAGTGTGTTGTTCAATCTACATGACTATGAATGGTTTTTTGTGGTTTTCCTGGTTACTTATTTCTAATTTTATTCCATGATGGTCTATTTGGATATAGGGAATTTTTTATTTTTTTGTATTTGTCAATGTTTGCTTTATGACCTAGGATGTGATCTATTTTGGTGAAAGTTCCATCAGCTGCTGAGGAAAATGTATAATCTGTTGCTATAAAATGGAATATTCTATAAATGTCCATTGTGTCCATGGTATTTTTTAGTTCTAAGATATCCCTGAAAATTTTTTGTTTGGATATTCTAATGATGAGAGTGGGTATTGAGATCTTCCACTATTACTGTATCTGGACCTATCTGTTCTTTTAAGCTCAGAACTGGTTGTTTTATAAACTTGGAGGGCACCAATATTTATATATATGTATTTAGAATTGTTATGTCTTTTTGTCTGATTGTTTCCTTTATAAGGATATTGTGGCCTTCTTTATCTCTTCTGACTAATCTGCTTTGTCTCATATGAGAATAATACTCTTGCTTGTTTTTGATATCTTCATGCTTCACAGATCTTTTTCCAATCTTTCAGTTTTAGTTTATATGTGTCTTTGATTGTGATATGTGTTTCTTATAGACAACAGATTATTGGATCTTGCTTTTTGATTCAATCAGACACTTGGTGTCTTTTGATTAGAGAGTTAAATCCATTTACATTTAGGGTAATTATTGAGAGATACTGATTCCTGTGTTTCTATTGCTTTTTTCCACATTGAGTTTCCTATAAACTGCTCTTTACTTTTGACTTTGTTCATCTTTGGGTTTTATAGGTTCGCTAAGTTGATCATACTTGCTACTTTCCTAGTTCTTATGGGTTTATCAATTCCCCTTTTGAGTTTTATTCTTTCCTGGCCTCTTGTATTTGTGATTTTTTGTTGTTGCTGTTGTTCTCTTCAATGTGAATTATACCCTTTTGTATCCTTTGTAATGCTGGCTTGGTGGACATGAACTGCTCTAGGTTATCCTTGTCCTAGAAGTCCTTATTTCTCCATCAAGATTAAGGATAGCTTTGCTGGGTATATTATTCTCAGTTGACACTTATTCTCTCAGGGCCTCAGTTATAGAGCTCCATGCTTTCTTAGTTTTTTTAGTGTTTGTACTGAGAGGGCTGAGGTGATTCTTATATATTTACCTTTGTATGTAACCTGGCATTTTTCTCTTGCAGCTTTCAGTATCCTTTCTTTGTTTTCTAGTTTGGGAATTTTAATTATAATGTGATGTGGGGTTCTTCTTTGTGGTCATGTCTATTTGGAGTTTGAAATGCCTCCTGTACATCAGTGTCTATATAATTTAATAGATTTGGGATATTTTCTGCTATTTCATTGAATAGGTTTCATATGACTTTAGTTTGTATTTCAGCTCATTCTTCAACCCTGTGAATTTGTAGGTTTGGTCTTTTGATCATGTCCCAGAGTTCTTATATTCATGTATATTCATTATTTTCTTTATGATTGCTTATGTACAATACTCATTGATCTTGTCCTCCATCTCTGTTATTCTTTCTTCTGTTTGATCTTGTCTACTGATTATACTATCAACTGCAGTTTGTATTTGATTTATTGAGGTTTTCATTTCTAACATTTTTGCTTGGTTATTTTTCATAATTTCCATTTATTTGCTGAATTTCTTTTCTGTGTTGCTGACTTCCTTGTCTGGTGCTAGATTGATTTCCTCACTTCATTTTCATTTATCTGTTTATTTGAATCTTCTTTGAAGTCTTTGATCATTTTTAACATTAGGCTTCTGAATTCTCCCTCAGACATTTTGAACAATTTATTATCTTTGAATTCAGATGTTGAGTTGTTGTGGTTAGAGTTTGGAAGTGAGACATTGCCTTGGTTTTTCATATTTAAATTTCTATGCTGTGATTTGTGCATCTGTTGTTCTAAGTTTCCTTTTACTTCCTTGGGTGAATGGAGAACCTACTGCAAAAACAAATGTAAACAATTCAGCAATAAGTCAAGTATTTGAATGAATAAGGAACAATCGGAACACTTATCTGTCTCCCAAATAAGGTTGTATGGAAGAAAAACTCTTGTTTCTAGGGAAATGTTCTTGGAACTTAACAAACATTGAAAGGTATAAGGATTGAAAATGGAGTAGTATGGGGGCTGGGCATTGGGAAGGGAAGGGAATGGGGCAATGGAAAGAAGGGGATGTAGATTTAGGAGATGGTAGTATAAGACAGCTCTATATATTTATAACAGGGAACTAGAGAATGTTTGGGCAAATAGGAAGAAAAAAAGAAAAGATTCTAACACTTAGAAGCCAAGTTAAAAGAAAAAAAGAAGAAATAAATAAATAAATGAAAAAATAAAGGAGAAAAATAGCCAAGTGAGAACAAATTAGATGAAGGAAAACAAGAAGACAAACAAAACAACAACAAAAAAGATAATTAAAAAATCCATTTTTCTTATTGGAAAGAAGTGTTTGTTCAAGTTAGTCCTTCTTGCCCAGGTTGTTATGGGAACAGCCTCAGGAGGTTAGAGCTGCATCTGTAGCTTAGGATGTGGCAGGGCCTCAGGGAAAGATAGCTGGGACCAGTAGTTGATGCTGTTCAAGCCAATTCTCTTAAAGAGAGTGCCCTCTGAATTGTTTTGCGTCTATGAGGCCTCCACAGATAGAAGGGTGAGACTTCTTAATGAAATGCTGAAAGAGCTGAGCAGACAAGGCCAGCTGTTCTGTGAGTAAGTGACAGGTAGCTTGAAAGGACGGACCACCAACCTCTGGGCCTCTTGCGGTTTTTCAGATTGCCCCAGTTGAAACCTCACCCTCTCTACTCTGCCTCTAGTGGCAGTCTCCCACACAGACACAGTTCTGAGACCTGGAACTCCGCAGGCTGAAACTTTTTAAATCCAGAGTTGCTTAGTGTGAAGCTCACTGCTTGTTGTTTGCAGTCAAGCAGCTGCTCTAACTTGAGTTCTCAGTCAGTGGAGGTTCAGTGTTTTGTTTTTTAAGTTGACCTTATTCAGTGGAACTGCTGTGCCAGGATTGGGTAGGGCCACCATCCTCTAGGTAATTTTGTTGTTTTCCAGCCAGAAACTTTCAGAATGCCCTATCTGATTCTCTTCCACACTAAGTTTGTCTCTGGTGACAGAGTCCAACATGGACACTGTGGCTAGGAACCCAGAACTCTCTGGGTTATGATTTTTCAAATTTCATGAACTGTTCAGTCTCCAAGCTTACCTGCCTGCAAGGAGCTTCAGATATCTGAGATCTCTGCCAGGGAAGGCTAGGTGCATGCTTTGTTTTGCAGATTTTCCATAGGCAGTTAGGCAGTTAGTCACCAATTCTTTACCCCAGCTCCCTGTAACTTCTCAGTTCACTGCAAGTCAAAGCATCTCTGTGGCCAGGTGTCTCAAGATGCCCTGAGCTGTGATTATTCCTTGTTTTCACAATCCCCCAAGTACCTCTCTTGGGATCCTCTCTCAAGATGGCACCTTGCCACAGCTCTCTGAGGTATAAGAATGAAGGGTTTTCTTGTCTGCTGCTGGCTTATTGTGCAGAGGAAATTACCATCCTGTGATATCCCCATACTGGGGTTAGGGTGCTCAGGTGGTATACTTATTGTCTCAGAGCTGTATCTGCCAGTCTGTCTCAGCAGCTGCCTGGCTTACTTTGAGGTGAAGGCTTTGGCTTACCTTTCCCCAAGAGAAGCTGGAGCTGGCTTAGCAAACCTTTTGCTTTATTAACTGTCATGTCTTTGATTCACTGTATTTTTCAGATTTCCTGTTATTCTTTTGTGTTTCTCTGTGCTATTCCTCTCATTGGCACTTTTGTATGCAGTCTCTTCTTTGATATCCAAACTTATTCAGGGGGCCTGATAGAGAAAGCTTCTACTCCTCTGTCATCTTGTTCCCTTTCTTTCATAAAGATTTGATTATCAATATGTCTAAAGACACTGGAATTAAAATGGTGAAGGAGGGCTTTTATTTCTCCATTCTGTTTTCCCTTCCCTTCACCTAAAAACATTATTTTCCCCTTTGTTTCCAATCAGCCATAAGCCCAGCCATACAGATTACTGTGCATCTTCCTAATACTAAAGAAATGATAGCGGAGTGTCATTCAGGAGGTTGGTTCCCACAGCCTCAAATGGAATGGAAAGACAGCAAGGGAGAGATCATTCCACCTACATCAAAATCCCACTCACAGTGTGGAGACAAATTGTTCAACCTGAAGATAACTCCTCTCCTTAGAGATGGCTCCCACAGAAATGTCACTTGCTGCCTTCAAAACCCAGTAACTGACCAGGAAGAAAGGACAAACACTGTCCTAGCAGGTGAGAACTATGTATTTGTTCAAATGATAGCCACTGTCATACAATTTATAAACAGAAAATTCGCATGCCCTCTTCTCTTCAAGGCATTACTTTTTCTTGACTTATTCATCATCTTGCTTGTTGGTCTTCCTATTTTGTTTTCTACAGGCACTTTTTTACTCTGTCTCATGATGTTGGAGTTCCCAGGGCATAATTTTGAGCCTTTACTCTTTTGAGACTACATTCCTTCTTAAGGCTCTAAGAACCATCAGTGTGATGATCCTCCTCAAAATATATCTCCTGCCTGAACTCTCTTCTACCTCCTTCTCATCTCCAAACTCAGGATCCCAATATAAAAGCCTAATAAATATCCCAAAGCAATATATCAAAAATTAAGATCCTGATTATCTCCTCAACTTGCTTAATTTACTACACTCCTATTCACAGTTCAGATTTTTAATTTCTCAGAATGAGATCCTTAAAATCATCCTTGACTCCCATTTTTTTCATAGTCTATGATATATCTGCCAAGAAATAATGTTAGGTCTACCTTTAAAATATATCCAGAATACATACCAGGCATAGTGCATGCACCTGGAATCCCAGCTACTTGTTGGGGGCAGAGATCAGGAGGACAGAGTTTGAGGCCAGCCTAAGCAAAAAATTAGTGAGACCCTGTCTCAACAAACATCCAGGTACAGTAGTATGCATCTGTAATCCCGGCTACTAGGAGTACCAAAGTCCAAACTAGCCTGGTCAAAAAAAAAAAAACACAAGACACTATCTGAAAAATAACTTAAGCTAAAAGGACTGGGGCATGTCTCAAGTGGCAGAGCAACTGCCTAGCAAGGGTGAGACCCTGAGTTCAAACCCCAGCACATCAAAAAAATAAAAAAAATATATATATATATATAATACACACATATATGTATTAGAATGTCAAATAATATCCAAAATATCATTACTTTTCACTACCTAGCTCACCACTGCCAAGTCTGAGACACCAAGACCTATAGTCTCACTGTTAACAATAGCATCCTGAAAGTTTTCCTATTTCTGCTCTCATTCACTATGGAATACTGTCAACACACAGCTAGGAGAACACATTTAAAACATGAGATAGAAAACATTACCATCTGTTCAAGACCCTGCAATTGTTCTCAATTTTACTTAGAGTAAAATGCTTACAGCATCCTGCCTTATCTGTGTCCCATTGCCTGTTTGATCTCATCTACTAGGGTCTTTCTTTGCCCACTATAATCTACTCACAGACTCTTTACTGTTCTCCACCCAGTCAGATAAGCTCCTTTGTTGAGTTGTTATGCCCTCTTGCTCGAATGCTGTAAATTCCACTCATTTTCATTGTTTCCTTCAAGTCTACATTCAACTGTCACTTTCTTAATAAGGACTGCTTTGACAAACCAACCTGAAAAATTTGACCTGCAGCCTGCCACCTGCGCCTCCCTATTTCCTTACTGTTTTTCAATTTCTTCTTCTTTTTTTAACAGAGAATTATTACCTTTTACCTTACTGCATAACTTGTTTATTCGTTTATTGTTTGTCATCTATCTCCCTCTCTAAACATTAAGGGTGGATATTTATTAGTTTTATACACTGACATACACCAACAGGTTCAAGTATTTCATGATACATAGTGGCTAACAAATCTATAATTGATACTTAAATTATTAAACACAGGAGTGCTTTGTAAATTGCCAAATAAATATACCTGTGTTGGTGTTTATGCTCATGAAATTAATGTTAGAATTAGATGCTGATAAGGATATTCTAACCTAAGAATATTATACTAAGAATAACTTTCCTGTCAGTTTTAGCAATTTACTGTGTTCAAAATGTTTTGCATCTATTTTCTCATTTGATCTTTCAGAAAAAAAATAAAGCTTCATATTGAACTTTATCAGAAACAGGAAAACAAACTCATAGGAGATAAAGACAAAACTACCCTTGGCCCTCAATGTTTATAGCAGATATATGTATATGTATATATATATATAATAGGTATGAACTACCCATATGTACACATTTGTCTATATAGAAACTATATATATGTATTTAAAGTATACGTAGATGTAAACATAAATGTATAGAACTGAGATAAGACAGGGGAAGTAATTTCCAATTTATTTGAAATGATAGTAAATAACAAGAGGTATATATTTTCTGAGTTGACACTTCCTTAAAGTAAATATGCTCTCTAAAAAACATCTTTTAATATAATAAAGGGGGCTAACTTATTCAAAGTACACTGTACACATCCATGAAATTATCACAATGAAACTCCTTTGAACTATTAATAAAATAGTTTTAATGCTAATAAAAATAGTTTAAAAATGTGTCCTAAAAGAATTGCAATTAGCACTAAATCTGTGGAGTAAGTTGCAGTTCTAGGAAATAGAAACATCTCAAGGCAATCTTATGTTCCTTTCACTGAATACAGAAGACAAGGATAAGAGTCAAATTTTATGACAAAGAAATTATCAAAACTAAGTTTCATCTCACTTGGGACTTTGTCCCTGTGTGACTTGTGATCTGGCAAGCTCACTGGGTTGCAGTGTAGGGGAGCTCATCTGGGTATAGAATTAGTTCCAAAGCCCTAGCTCAGTGTCCTGTAAATGGAAAGCACCAGGTCCATTCAGGTTTCTGCTACCCCAAACATATCCAAAATGATGTGCAGAACTCTTGATTGGCTTTACAGCAGACTCATGGATTCATTTCTTCATGTACAAGACATAATGGCATATTCCAGGTGAGATAGGATTACTTTTTCTCGTGAAGAAAGACATCAGATTTCCAGAAAAAATTACAGGCATTACCCTATACGTAGGGCAAGCCAGTAGGCCAAAGCAGATATTTATTCATATAAATAGAAGAGGAAAATATATGTACTTTTATGAACATTAATTTCATGAACATAAATAAACACTAACACAGGTATTATAAAAGTATATGCATACAGGTATATATGTTTATGTCAATATGGATATATTCAGGAAGAATAATGGCAATCCCAGTGATTACATTGAAGAATTCACCACTGCACATTTGCTGATAGTTCTGACAAGAGGACTGAAGGAATGCATTGGTACCGAAATTGTAAGAGTCCTTGGATCAGAGCTTGGAACAGAAGAGGAGAGGACAGAGATCTGCCTCTTTCCATGTAGCCAGGGAGCTCATGAGACACAGTGAATGGGGACAAATAGGAAGTGTTCAACCTCTAGTCCCACCTCACTCCAGACCATGTCCAACTTTTCACCACCCAATCATAACTGCTGCTCCAAATTACACTAGTTTAAATATTTTGGGGTAATGGGATCTTGATTGGAAATATGCTTTGGATGAATCATCAGTCCTAATTGGGTGGGTCCAAAGACTCCGAGATCCCTATGAGGTAAGATCTGTGACTCGTTATCTCAGAAAAGCTACTTTCATGGAAGAGTACATGGCTGGTTCTCCTCACAATTCTGTTGGTGCTGCTAGTCTCTATTATAGTTCCAAGTATTGAACTAAATCTCAGAAAACAAGGTAAGTAGGTTTGAAGAGGTGGGGGTGCAAAGTGGAAGAGGAGGGAGCTAAAGCTGCATAACCCTTGACTCCCAAGTCTGTCTGCTCAGGACAGATGTGTTAGGATAGGTTCTCCACCCATCCCTTTGGTCGTAGATATTCTTCTCTTGCTGCTGGAGCTGCTAAAAATACTATTTATCTGAAAGCCTGGGCTTCCTGTACCTTAATCAAGTTGAAACCTCTCTTTCCTATGATGATAGATATCTACAAAACTTGGAAAGTTTTAGAACAATTAACACCTAACACCATTTGCACATTTTTCTCCTTGACTTCTTTATGGCTCAGGGGCAGGAAGTAAAACCCTAAATTGCACATGGCAGAAATTGCTGCAAAGAGTTCACACATCCCAGCATCAGGAAAATAGTCTAAAGGTAGTTTACTTTTCCTAGGAGAAAAAGTATTCATTCACTCTCAACTATAACATTGTGGGGGAAGAGGACTTGGAGGATTCACAAGAAATTTTAGGATACACAAACAAAAGAATAGCTGTTCAATATTTGAAGGGGGGATGAGGGAAAACAATGGAGGAGTTAAATCTAAGATATACTATAAGCATATACGTAAATGTCACAATGAACAA